ATTAGTATTTCATATATGTATTATCTTATTTATTTTTAGTATAGTATATTTATATTCTTGTATCACCTTATTAGTATCTGCATAACAGAGGTAAAATATCTCAAACATGTAACATTATGCGATGCGAGGTAAAATACCTAGGTAAATTACTTCCAGTATTAATAATTGTGCTGAAATGTTATGGAAACTTCCGAAGTTTTCTTGAAGTTAATAATTATAGTTTACGATACGATCCAAATTTTATATAAATAGAAGCTGTTTCTACTCCTCTTGAAGGAACAGTTGATATAGAATTGAATATTCTAATAACTCGAAATAAAAACATTATTTATAAACTGATATTTTTCTTGGTGAATTATATAGTTTATATTGTGACTTTCTTAGTGAAAACCCTCTTGTTATTTGCCTTGCTTTGTGATCTTGACAATTCTGTTATTATTACTCTCTTCTTGGTAATAAGAGTAATTGTTAGTTAATAATACCCTGCTTTGTGATCTCGGTATTATAGTCACTTAATAATTAATCCTGTTTTGTGATCTAGGTTAAGTTATTAAGTCCTTCGTGAATTTGTTTAGTTTTTTAGTGAAACTTTGTTATCTTTGTGACTTAGCTAGTAAATCCCTTTTAAAACCTCATACCTTAGCCTATTTTGATCAAATCCACTTTACCCAAATCTTTCATATCATTACTTTATCAATAGTAATACCTGTTCAGCGTAGTTAATTGTTATAGTGTTTAAAGTCTATAAATACAATTCCCACTACCAGTTGCTTAGTTTTCGTTGGTTTCTTTAGAAAGTAAACCAAGGTTAACAACACTATTGAATACACTATTGATTACGCTGTTCATTACACTGTTGATTACACTCAGATCTACAGTTATAATACCTAATAGTTGTATCAATTTCTAAATGATTTACGCTAATAATTTTTTATAATACATACTAATAGAAATATGAAATTAAACTAATAAGATATAGTTATAAGCTAATGCATGTTAATAATATAATAAATGAATAAGGTAAAAATATAATAATAATAAGATTCGACAACTAGGGTCAATAGTGTTGAAAAAAAAATAAGAGTTACTTTAAATATAAAGTAGCTTAAATAATAAAATTATTTTTTCCAGGTAGCTATAAATAAATATATAGGCCTTATAAATTGTAAAAAAAAAATTTTATTGAAAACATGATTCTCAAAAAAAATTTTAATTATTGACATAATGACCACTTGATGATGAACCCAAAAATTCTTTTTTGTATATTTATTTATTTATTTTATTTGTTTATTTTGTTTTTTTATTTTGTTTAGATGTTTAAAAAAAATTATCTCATTCTGATTTTTCTTTTAAAAAAAATTGACATTGGATATGACAAAATTATGAAATGAGATTTTGAGTTCTTTTAGAAAAAAATTGAATTTTATCTCTTAGCATTTTTTGATCTATGTTAACTGTAGTTTTTGATCATTTTTATTATTGTTATTTATATCTCCATAACTTCTTTTAGATTCGTGAAAAATTAAGCTACCTCAAATTAGGATAAGTTATGATTACAATTATTATTATCTTATTAAAACTATTTAAATAATTCATAAACAGTAGGTATCAAAAGTCATGGACCAAAAAAAAATTAATAAAAAAATCACTAGAATTAAAATGCTAATTGTGACAACAGGTGATCTAAATTGCAAAAACTTTTTTTATTAGATTTTCCTAAACCAGAGCTATTATATGATATATTTTGTGTTAAAATTAAATGTCTATATATAGAGAAATTATACTTCAAATAAAATTAAAAAAATAAAAAATTTAATCTTTGAACGTTACCTATACTGTAATTGATAACTTTTAAGAATAGATCTAATTATCTTATGTGAAATTGTAGCCAAGAATAATATCTACTATACATGTTCCCAAAATTGATTTTGGATTTTTGAGGTATTTCGACTTTTTGAGATTTATGCAAAATCTATTCTATATATAGAAGTAAAAAAAGTACCTAGTTATATGTATCTTTAATCAAAGAATAAATCTGGGTGGTCAAAAAATTTTGGGTTTTAAGTAAAATAATTTCGTCTTCTATGAAAAACTATTTGTACTTTTTCCCAAAATTACAATTTCGGGGTTCCAAAATAATTTTGTGTACAAGTATAATATCTATAATTTTTATTACAACGAGATTTCATAGTTTTTAGTGAATATTTAGACTTAAATTAGACATGAATAAAAATGGCCAAAATTTATTAAAAATTTTAAAAAATAAAAAAAAATTCGAAAATAATTGTCAATCATTCTTACATATGAAAGTTTTTTTTAATAAAATACTAATAAAAATGACATTAAGTAACATTAAAGCTGAGTATATAGAACATAATATGTAAAGCATTCAGACATATTGAATTAAAATTAAGCGAATAATTAATGATTGAATTATAGAAAACAATTTTGAATATCCAGTGTTCAGCCGTTGATATTAAATTCAATTTGTAAGAAAAAATTCTAAAAACTTCAAAAAGAATACTTCTCATTCTTGCTACAAGATTAATTAGTAAATAATAGACTTTTATATGTACCAACTTTTGATAATTAATTTCGAATTTTTTTTCAGATTTTTTAAAAAATATCAAAGATAAAATGATCGACATTGATTTTTTCTAAAACCAATAAATATCAAAAGTTTCTACATATAAAAGTTTATTATTTATTAGTAAATTATCAAATATGTTACTAATTAATTTTATAGCCAAGAATGGGAGTATCTTTTTTGAAGTTTTTATAATTTTTCTTACAAATTGAATTTAATATCAACAGTTGAACACTGGATATTCAAAAATTATTCTCTAGAATTCAATTGTTAATTATTCGCTTAATTTTAATTAAATATGTCTGAATGCTTCACATATGATGTTCTATATACTCAGCTTTAATGTTACTTAATGTCATCTTTATTAGTATTTTAGTAAAAAAAAAACTTTTATATGTAAGAACAATTGACAATTATTTTTGAATTTTTTTTATTTTTTAAAATTTTTAATAAATTTTGGCCATTTTTATTCACGTCTAATTAAAGTCCAAATTTTCACTAGAAACTATGAAATCTTGAATAATAAAAGTTGTAAATATTGTTCTTGGCTACAATTTCATATAAGATTGTTGGTGTCTATCTTTAAAAGTTATCAATTCCGGTATGGGTAATGTTCAAAGATTAAATTTTTTATTTTTTTTCAATTTTATTTGAAGCATACTTTATGTATATGCATTTTAACACAAAATATATCATATGATAGTATCCCTGGTTTAGGGAAATATAATAAAAAAAAAGTTTGTGCAATTTAGATCCCCGTTGTGTCACAATTAGCATTTTAATTTTAGTGATTTTTTTTATTAATTTTTTTTGCCCCATGACTTTTGATACCCCACTGTACATATAATCTGTAACCAAGTTTATACTCCATTGCATTGAGAGGACGCGAAATAATTAAATTAGTGATAAAATTATGAATTATCGCATTGTTATCGGCTGAAGTGTAGACTGTTAAAATAATTTAACCCATGTAGCAGTCGTATTATCAGAGTAAATATTAGAACGAATTTTAAATAGAAATTCGTGGGAAAACTCAACCATCAATAAAATGATATTAATATCTGTACTGTTAAGAATGGATGTCTGTATTCTGAAAAAATCGCCGTATTACATTTTTTTCTAGCCTAGCTTACTAAATTGACATAAAATAAAACTTTATGGGTTTTTCGCTAAACTTTAAGGCTCGTTGTCATTTACCTGTTATCACCACATATTATCGTAACCTAGTGTAGGAAAAAATAATAATTTTTAAAATAATTATCGATAATAAAATTAGCCAAGAAAAATATTCTAATAAAAACTTTACACACAAACAATCTGAATTGATAATTATCTATTATGTTATCATTGATCGATTAAGATTATGATGATTTTTAAGTAATTTTTGGTCTTTAATTGTCAAAAGTAAACTCTGTATTTAAAGAATATTACATTTTAAAATATCAAATTTATTACGTCTTACTTGATCTTATTTTTAATTAACTGAAAATAGGCAAATTACAAATGGTAAGTTTTCTATGTTAAGTTTTCTATGCATTAATATGTTTGCGTTTTATTAATATGAATCATCAATTGTTTGAGTTGTATAAGTTCAATATCGCTTGACAATGGGTCCACTCCAGGGATGATATGGAAGAAGATTTGGATGTCTTGAGACAGTTTTTTGTCTGTACCACACCTCAGATTGTCCATATTTGTCAGCTTCTTGTATTTGTACAAATCGTGTTGAATGTTGCATCACTAGAATTCTAATTTAACATTTTTAATTTTTATAGATTCGTATGCGAAGAAAAAGTTTATTGGAGTGAAATCATCAATTTAAAATATTTAACGTTTAATTAATTTTAATTGAGATTTCGCAACATAGATTCATTATTATTATTAATATATTGTATTTCAAATATTTTTATTATGAAATTTTTACAGATTAACATTGTGGAAAAATATATGCAACTTATATGATTGTGATGAATTGGTTATTACCAGATACAGTCAAAAAAATTTAGCCGATTATTATTATAATTGGGGTGTGATTTCTTTTATTTTATAAGTTACGAAAAATCAATTTTTAGTTTATTTAATAATATAGACTGACCTTTTTCTAAATTTATTATATTAAAAAATATTTTATTTCGTTCAACTTTACCAAAAATTTAAATACATTTAATATGTTCGTAGTACGTTTATCTAGATTTTACTATTATTTAATTAAATAGTTAAATAACTTACATTAATGAAGTTTTTTGAAACATATGTTAAAATTAACCACTCCAAAAAAGAAGAGATCGCAAACTTTACAACAGAGCTGCTATTGTTACCAGAATTACTAGTGTTGTTACACCAAAATTACGAGGACTATAACTAGAACTGCTAGAATTATTCTTAAAATCATTACTAGAACTACTAGGAGTACTTGATTTGCTAGAACTACGTGGAGTACTCGAACTGCTAGAACTGCTAAGAGTACTACTAGGAATGTTAGAGCTAGTAGAATTATTAGCATTATTTGGATCACAATCAATGTGCCATGGAACCGTAAAATTAATTCTTTGTGATCCGGTATTAAAATTCTTTATCGCCAAAACATAATAGTAATCACTTGAAGAAGAAATGGATCCAGTTTGGCATGGTAAATTTGAACAATAAGTTCTCATAAAACTTGAATCGATTTCAAAGTTTTCCGGATTAAGTAATGGAGTCGTTTTTTCTTCAAATCTCCATGCGTATATTCTAAATCCAGTAGACGCACTATCAGAAAGGGAAATGTTAAGAGCGGAACCACACGTATCATTAAGAGGGTCTAAATCGATTGCAAATGTCAAACTACAGTCTATAATAATATACAAAGTTAAAGTTTTATTAGTTAATCCTTTTCCTTTTTACTATAGTAAAATTGATTTTAAATACTCACTATGGCTATCAGAAAGTTCATCGGACCAAGCCCACCAAATTTTATTTACGGGAATGAGGACAGTTGCAGAATTTGCACTAACCATTACTATGACATATTATTTGCGCATATATTGTAAGTTTATTGTTTTCAGATATTATATACGTAATATATATTTAAAATGAGCCATTTCTTACCCATCTGCAAAGTTAAGAATGTTATTAACATAAAGAAATACTTTGTCACCATCTTGTATTAACGAATTCTCGCAAGTTTCAATGAGGAAACAGGAGCCTATAAATATAGCCATTTAATCTGTGCATTATTTAGTCTATGCATTGCGAAAATTCGGAGTGTATTCGACATCTCCGTTGCAGTGTTATCTCTTGTTAAACCTACAAAGTGTAATATTATTCTTTGATCGTAAAATCTACTGAGCAAATTTTATTGTTCAACGTTATCTCCTAATTTAAATTATTGTTGACATTAGAATACAACAAATTAATAATACTTAAGTGTAATTAAGATTAAAATATCAAATTTTAACCCGAATATCTTAAAAAAGAAAATTTCTCTTACAAATGAATGCTTAAAGAATGCAATTTAAAAAATCCCGAGTCACGAGGAACTTCATATGTTTGATTGAGAAATCTAAAAAAGCAAATTATTAATTATTATATAATGCCTATTACTATCAATGTCCTTTTTTTAGCCATAAGAAATCAAATAAATCCGTCCGCTCATATGTTAACATTAGTCTGATCACAAAAAAATCATCAGATCGACAAACAGTGCCACAAGAGTAAATAGATCGAACTTTAATCATATATTTATTAAATGTGGGAAAATCTAAAATGAGTGATGACCAATTCCGATTTCACCCGGATGCCACGAGCGTGACTCGGTTTAAACATTGATATTTTTAATTTTTAGAAGCTTTGTGGATTTTTACATTTTTTTGACTTCGCGATTTGTGAAAGATGGAATGATCTTCTAAAAAGGTATTTTTATGATAAATAAGACGGTCGTGTTATTAGCTACAAAATAATGTTTTTTATCCCTGTAGCATCGATATTCGCGGAGTTAATCTGTTTAAAGAAAATGTCCGTAAAAAATCGTCCAAACATTTCGCGGAAATTTCCATAACGCTAAAAATCATCTGGGTATCCGGTTTGCTTAAAGGGACCGTGTTCCAATCCTAAGACCAATTATTACTAAATTTTTTTTTTTACATGTAAAATTATCTAATCGAAATTATAGCAATAGCGTAGTAGATCTTAAATGCTGTTTATATTCACGCAAAGAAAACTCTATTAGTAAAGAAATAATTCATTATTATCATCCGCGTAATAGTCATTCCTATAGGAGATAAATGCATTAAATGTTCATCGTCTGTTATCCATTGAAGATCAGAAATTTGTGCATTATATTATCATAATACTTCATGTACATTATTTACATTATTTATACATTAATCTATTATTTTCATTGGTTAGTCAATTTCTACATTTTAAATGTACATATTATTTATTTAATGTGGAACTGCAGAACTGGTCCCACGGAAGAAAGGAAGGTATTAAAAATTAAAAGAAATTTATTATAAAATATAAAAAAATTCGTTGCATGGTCGCAATAAGGTAAGTAACTTAAAAATTACTCAAATATCCAAATCACAAAGAAGTGATATTTAAAAAAAATGATTTACGTGAATTCTAAGACCACGGATCCAGTAAGTAATTTTTTAAAGAAATATATTTAAAAAAATAACACTATCTCAAGAAGGTATATAAAATATTTAATGCTTTCGAAATGTAAACAAATGAAAATAAAAAAGATTGTAAAAATGTAAAAATCTATATTGCATATAAAAAATAGGATATGCCTTCCAAATTCTTCACACTTTAAAATAAAAAATAAAATAAATTAAATAAATAAAATAATAATAATAGTAATAAATAAAAAAAATAATAATAAACAAAAAAAAATGATAAATAAAAAAATAATAATAATAAATATATAAATAAATAAAGATCTAGAATCGACGACATTTTGGCATAAAACTTTAAGAATAAAAAAAGTTGAAAGTATAAAATAAGTATATCTTTTTATCTAAACTAGCATAAATTATTTTCTAAAAAAAGATAATGTACAAAAAATAATGATCAAATGGCTATTTAATGAAATAAAAACTATTATATTTTATACAAAATAATAATAGAAAAGTTTACATATGTTTTTTATTGTTCATTTTTTTGTTAATTTGGCAAAATAAAAAGTAAATTTTATAACAAAAAATTATAATGTATAAATTTTGATAAATCCATCAAATTGTTTAAAATTTTTTTATATTTTATTATAATACTAATGTGCCAAAAGTATTTTATCACATCCAATATTTTTTATTAGATTCTTCTGTAATATCATACAATATTTTTAGAGGCTTAGCTCATTTGTATGGAATTTGGAATTAGCCAAGAATATCAAATTTCTATTGGATCCCATAGTAGATAACAAACATTGTTTTCTTTCTTCGTTTTAACTATTTTCATTACTGACATATGTAGTATATATTATAAAAGTTAATATTAATAGTAGCACAGTGGTTACATTAAAAAACAAAATATTTTGAACAATATGTAATGCAAAATTGGAAAAGTGGCAAAATAGAGTAATTATCTTTCTGCATATTGTAATCACCGTTTTATGGCATATATATAATCAGCAGATATAAAATTCTTTCTTTTCATTCATTCATTCTTACTTTATTATTTCATTCTTCCATTACAATTGTTTTCATATAAAAATTTTACTTTAAAAGATAATCTATTATTATATACAGTAATAGAAAATTTTTTATTCTAATTATCACGATTAACTAAAATTTGGCAATTTGCTTCATAAAATATTATCTCTGAGGTTTGAGAAAATATTAATGTTTTCACAATAAAATGTAAAAATTGGTTATAAGTAATGAATATATAATGTGATTTTTCTTTACATACCTAAATTTAAAAACAATTTTAACCTCATCTATTTGTTTTTTTAAAAGAAACAAATTTTTTACTGCACGCGCTAAAATGACCAAAAAAAGTGACATTCAATGAAAGAATGCGATCAAAAATATGCTTAAGTTTTATGATAACACAAAACATTTTCAAAATGATTTTGATAAATGGACAAGTGGAAATAGCGCAATCGATAAAATTATTCATGATACTCAACTAAATGAAAATCTCGAATGGACTTTAATAGAATGGATGCCTTTGCATCAGGAAATTTTATTAGGCGAAAATTTGTGCAAATTTTTGTCTATATTTTTTCTGTTTTTTTTTTTTTTTTTTGAATTCGCTCGCGATTTGCGAGGCACGGAGCGATTTTCTACTAAGATATTTCTAAGATAGAAAGAAAGGTCTGGTTCAAGCTACAGAATGATATGTGTTTTATTCCGGTAGCATCAATATTCGTGGAGTCATTTGTGTTTAAAGTCGAACGTCCGTGAAAAAATCGTGCGAAAATTTGCGGAAATTTTCGCGAAAAATATGTTAATTCAATAAATATATTTACTTCTAGAATTACTATAAATGTTAAGTTCTCTTTCCTTCACTCCTTTTTGAAAATTTTTTTCACAAAAAAAAAAAATATAAAATGGACGATCAAGCCGTAGTTAAAAGCAATTATTCTTCCCTTTTCTCGTACTCTAATTCGGAATTAATTAATAAATCACACTTTATAGTCATATTATTTCTGGAGATGAACAAAAATTAAAAAACTTATTAATTCATTATTAGAAAGTGCCCATCATCGTTATTAATCGTTGCCTTTAGTAAAATTTGATGATACGAGATTTTCTGGAATTAATCCTGAAAATTTAAAATGTCTAGCTTACAGTACCAGAAAGATATATAATATGATTAGCTTAAAACAAAGAATTGGTCAATATGATTTATATAATATTAGAATGTATTTAGGCGGCGGATTAGGTGCAATTTTAACTCAAAAAAAAAACGTGGAATCAATTATATCATTTTTACTATTAATTAATAATTAAAATATGCATAAACCGATATTTCATGGCAAAAGTATAAGTCAAAGTCTATGAAAGTTGATTCCATTTCAAAAATTATGAGTATTGATTCATTTTTATATTAAAAATTATGTAAAAATATACAATATTAATATATATTTTGCTTTATTCGCAAATTGCCAACTTCGAACTTGCACATATATTGTGAAATAATTATAAACCTCAAATTCATTATACTGTACATACCTATATGTGAACTTTAATTTCTTTTTAATAAAATAAATGAATTTGGTTTGAAATATTTTTACAGATTTTATCTACATATTAATAAATATCCATTATTAATTCCAGGTCACTGTTTTTATTTCAGCAACATGATCTAATAAAAAAATAAACTATGTAATACAAATGAACTTTATAATATTATTCAGCATCGTAGATAACATACATTCTTTACAATTCATTTATTATATTCAAAGGTATTACTTATACTGTTAATGAGTAAAATAATTATAAAAGCGCGGAAAGTTGTAAAAATGAAGTCAAATTTCTAAGATTAGATTAGAGTTACTATCCTGAAATTAACTATGTACTATGTCCCATTGATAAAGTTACTATGCTTGTGTTCAGGTATTATGCTGAAATATATTATGTCCGTTGGGAATGGTTACTATGCCCATATTACAGAGTTAATTTCAGTTTTGTTTTCCTCTCTTTTTAAGCACTCCACATATGACACAGAGGAACAGGCTGGTCGATCTGCTTTCCATCGATGCTGCCACTTTCCAAAATTCCCAAAATTTGGCTTTCACGCTCAGTTAGCTCTCCTTCTCGAGTTCCATAATGACTTCTTCCTTTGCAGTCTCTGAACCAGTGAGCTTGATTCTAGACTACATTCCATCCTTGGAATCCACAGGCACATTCCCCTGCGGAACTGGAAGGCCAATGCAAAATCTGTTCAGAGTGAACACTCCCGAAGGATCATACTTTTGCACAGTCATGTGTACTTTCCTTCTGAGTTTTGGACATAATAATACTGCTGAGCGACACTCAAGTCCAAATCACATGAACCCCACAGAACGTGACAGTCATGTTTGCAAAATTTGCCCTTCAGCTTTCCAACTCTCTCGTCATTTTCTTGCTCCCACTTTGTCACCTGCTCATGTTAATAGTTATGATAAAATGCATCCAATATATAGATAATGTTCAAGTCTCACCAACTGAATAACATAGAACTGTTCTTTCCGTTTGAAAAAATCATTAATTGGAGCCACTAACATGCTGAAACTGTGTTGACAAGTTATATCCAGCTACAGTTGGTCTGAGCATTCCTCTTCTGAGATTTCATCTCCATTCATCTTCAACTTGATCAGAAATCCAATTCATCCAACTGAGATTCTTGAGCTTCTGAAAACTGAAATTTGATGCATTGTTACCTTTGACTTTACCTTATCTTTTATTGTTATTTATTTATATATTTTATATTGTATATTATTATCTATTATTTATTTCTTATTATTATATATAGTATTACACTAGATCAATTTATTAGGCTGTAGTACAAATTAAATATTATTACTTAAATTAGTAGATTTCTAAATTCTTGTTACTCTGTAACACTAGAATACAAATTAGAGTATTAGTCATAGTATGAGTTAATATTCCAGTTAATTTACAAGTTAAATTAATAGTTAAGGTACCA